GAAATCCAAAATGACGGTGGCAGTCTGAGCTTAGTTATATCACTCAAAAGTCGTTCCCGTTTGTCTCATTTGATAAAGAGGGAAACATTAATGTTTTCATTAAGACAGTATATCCTTGATTTTCCAATAATAAACAGTAAATTTCAATTTCCACCCACATTTACTTCCAATCTTTTCTTTTGAACCAGAAACAAAGATGATATATTTTTAAAACACATGACATCATCCACCCTTGTCAAATGTATGATCATTTCAATTGTAATGCCTTCTTATCCTAAGGTTACTTTGTTTCTTTGCTACATTAGTGAACACTAAACTACTGCTCGTGCTCTAAATATGACAGTCAACCACAAAATTCCCTAAACCAGATAACATTAAGCATAATCCAAAAAATCATGTAAGTCATCTGTCAATTCACGAGTTTGCTCACAGAGCTCTTTGATTAGGCATTAGAACCGCTTGGCTTTCTTTGTTCGCGTTGGGGTGTATCGCAGTACTCTTGACGGTCACTAGGGTCTTTCAGCGGGTACAAGTATCGCTCCTCGTGCATGATACATATGTCCCAAGGAGTAATTGGTAGGGTTCTTGCGAAGTTCACTTTACATTGTTCGCAAGCTTTTGCTTCTTTGTAATCCTAGACAAATATGATGTGAAATGGCTCGTCAGTGTGGTAAACCCCGTAGAACGGCAGTACTTAGGGACATCGAGATCAGGATCATAGACTTCGTTCGCATCTTCCTTGAAAGTATTAGTAGCTGTTCAACATAATTTGACCACGGCGTGGTTTCTTCTGACGCTTCTTTGCATCGGCCCCCTTGGGAGCATTGTCGTAGGCTAACCTGGACTCCAGATATTTTTGTTTTCTCTAACGCTAAATGTGTTCAACAAAGTACCCTACGTTTCGGCAACAGCGACAGAATGCTGGCACAGTCCACCCTTCGCGACAGATGTAACACAATTCTTGCAATGTAACATACCTTTCTTGCTCTCAACGGTGAAAGCCTTGTCGGTGTCAGTTACGCAAAAGTTGTCATTTAAAGGATTAACTCAAAAAAGTGGAAGAATTACTTCGGCATTTCTCCAAATATGTGCAAACAGTTTCGCCGCGAGTTGTTTCGTCAGACCACCTTCTGCTACAGAAATTTACAATTTCTTAACCACTGCCTCGTCAGCTCTCCTCTCATCGGTTATGCCACCCTCAGGAACTTTCTTTACATAAGCTCATCGTTGGGCGCGTGTCATCTGCTTCTCCTTTGGCCTTGGCCTCTTCTTTCATTACTTGGTGCAAAGCCTCTGTACCTTGATTGTGCCATTTGTTAGGAGGATTTCCAAAGCCTACCGCTTCTGGAATGTGTTTCAGCATAATACTTTCAGAGTTTTTCGTTTGACTCACCATGTAGTCACGTGTGTTGTAGATCGCGACGTTTCGACTGCATACTGCTCCCTCGGCGATCCGCTGTCGCACGGCTCTCCTGTTGTTGTTGTTGTTGTTTTTTTTATCGTGGGCATCCACGTTTCTGGAAATTCTATTCCACTATCTCTGTTGATGTTGTTAGGGTGAAGTCTTATCTGAATTACCTCTTTGACCCTGCACGTGTAGTAATAAGGGTCACGATCAATAAACTTTACTTCGTTTCAGAGTGGCTTGTTTGTCTGGTGTTGTGGGCATGCTCTGAAACGGCGGAGGTCTCGGTACGGGCGAGTCGAATGTCTCGATCGTGCTCCTTAATTCTGTCTTGCATAGGTCTTCCAGTCTCTCCGATGTACACCGTGTTGCATTCACAGGGAATCCTGTAAACTACGCCACCTTGTTTATCCGGGTCGTCAGCGTCTTTTAGTCTTACTAACTGAGATCTTAGCGTAGTCTCCGACTTGAAAACAGCGCGTACGCCTTATTGTCGTAGACAGACCTTTGACATAAGGTTAAACCGCAGTAGCTTTGAACTCGTTGACGGGTTCGGCATTGTTGTTTTCCGATCTTGGTAAGTTTCTGCAAGAAAGAAAAAGGATAACCATTAGAAACCAGAACAGTTGACTTTTTTTTTTTCTCCTCGGAGATGACGGAGGGTTTTGTTACGAGACGTTTGGCGTGCTCGTAAAAGCACTTAACAATACCGCGTTTTACTGATTGAGGGTGGCGTGAATCATACGCTAAGTATTAATCGGTGTGCGGGGCTTCCTGTATACGCTGGTGGTGAGGCGGCCGTCAGGTTCTGTTAAAACTGCGGTGTCTAGGAAGGCGAGTTTGTTGTCTTTCTCTGTCTCCATGGTGAAGCGGATGGAAGGCTGCTGGTTGTTTAAATGCTGTAAGAAGTCATCTATGTTTTCGCGATCCAGGATGGTAAAGGTATCGTCCACGTAGCGTTTCCAGATACTAAGCTCGTAGGATGATGTAGTTATCGCCTGTTCTTCGAATCTCCATGTAGAGGTTAGCAACCTATTTAAACTCAATTCACATATATGTTTAAGTCTGTTTATGTCAATGGGTATGGGTATGTCTGTTTATGTATATGTCTGTCTATTTCTATGTGCATTTTTATGTCGATGTATAGGTGTACATGTACATTTGTATGTTTACAGTAGGTCTTTTTTTGTATGTGTATGTGTTAATCTATGTCTATGTTCATGTCTATGTGTAGGTGCATTTTTACGTGCATATACATGTCCGTGTCATTTGCATGTTTATCTTTTTGTCAATGTCTGTCTATGCACGCGCCCTTATATTAACTTTACGAAGATTTTTTTCAATTTTGATAGAATTTTCATAACTCAATTTTAATTACATAAAGCAGGTAGTTTTGTGTTAACAACTGAGTTGAAAACGTAAATTGACCAACGTAAAGAGTTAAAAAGCTGATGTTTCGAGCGTTTGCCCTTCGTCAAAGCGATTGGATGAATTGTGGGTTGTGTGTGGGTTTATATGCAGAAAGTGGAGTTACACTATTGGTGGGAGTATGGTGACGTGAAAACAAGAATAAATTAGTTGAATGAAAAGCGCTCGTTGATACCGTGGGGATTATGAGTGCGTTACCTCCTCTACTAGAGAGGAGCTCACTCAATTTATAATCATCGTCAATTCCTTTCACCGGCTCTTAAATGTATCTGGGAAATTTCCGACTCTTATTTGGCTTTTCTAGACATCAAAATTTCAATGGAAGGCAACGGTTAATGCACTAGTGTTTACTAAAAACCTACGGATTCACATAGTTCACATAGCATCCATCACACGTCAGGAACTTCATACCTTTTTCACAGTTTCTCAGACTTCGTCGTTTATGTAGGGACGACTCTGATTTTTCCGAAAAATCAGGGGCAGTGTGCCAGTTTTTCAATAAACGTGGCTATCCTGTTTCTGTCGTTCAAGCGGACCACCATCGTGCCCAACAAATTGATCGACAGTCATCACTACAACCGGCTGAGAAGGAAAACACTGACCGCATTCCATTCGCTCTCACATTTCACCCGCACAACCACGCGGTTAAATCTATCATTCTTTAAACTACTCCAAAACGATTCAGAGACTGGTACTATCTTTTCGCAACCCCCACTAATTTCATTCCAATGTGACAAGAACAGAGGCAACTTTTTGGTCAGAAGTTCATTTCAAACCAATGATCAATCTGGAACTTTCAAATGCGCTCGCTCACAATGCAAAACTTGTCCTTCCATTCATAACGTACATAAAATATCGGGACCCAAGAGATCCACTAAGATCACTGATCACTTTACGTGTACCTCCGCCAATGTCATTTAATGCATAACTTGCACTTAATGCAATAAGTTGCACATTGGTGAAACAGGAAGACGACTAGGTGACTGATTCTGAGAACACCTTCGCGACGTGGAAAGAAATGGCAAGGACGCATCCAAAGTAGTAGACACTTTAATCTCTCTAATCATTCTCAACAACATATGGCAGTTTGCGGCCTTTCCTTTCATCTAGGCAGTTCGGAAAGCCGCAAAACACTAGAACACTGAAAAATTTATCCTCCAAATCGCCACTCTTAATCCCCACGGTATCAATGAGCGCTTTTCATTCAACTAATTTATTCTTGGTTTCTCGTCACCATACTCCCACCAATGGCCTAGCTCCACTTTCTGCATATAAACCCACACACAACCCACAATTCCTCCAATCGCTCTGACGAAGGGCAAACGCTCGAAATGTCAGCTTTTTTACTCTTTGCGGAGGTCAATCCACTTTTTTCAACTCAGTTCTTAACACTAAATTACCTGCTATACTCTCCCACCGACGCAGCACCACAGTTTCTTTAGAAACTTACCCCCTTCATTTATTTACATATTTTCAATGTATAAATATAAATTAACACAGCAATCACTTTTTTGGTCCTTGTTTCCGGTCATTCATAAATCCCTAGAACTTGAACATTTTACCAACGAGGAGGTTCGAGTTATCAGTAGTAGACCTTAGTTTCATCACTTACCGCTTTTATTTTCAAATGGACTGAAGTTTAGTTGATCGTCATCATCATCATTAGCATGTTTTTTTTCCTTTGGCTCCTGTTAAATGTACGAGAAGGCAAAATACAGTTAATATTTTTTGCCTAATTGGCTGTTTTACAAACTTCTTTGTTTGAACGTTGTTGTGAAAAGGGTGACCTTTCTCGAATCTCTAAATATGGTTCCAAGATATTTAATAGTTATGGTAATAGGAATGAGTGGACTGTCTGATCACAAGTTGCTTGTAAATGGTCAGGTCAAATCAAACCTATTTATGGCTTAAAAATGAACGGCTCATACAAACCAATCAGACTCGAACAATTTGTTATTGACATAATTTTATGATTAATCTATAGATAACACTTTCAGCAAATTACCTCATCGCAGGAGTCTTCGTTATCTCCTGAGCTGGAGTGTACACAGCGTTCATAGTGCTTTCGAGCATTTCTTGCGTCCACAGAAGTTCTATCATGTAGAAGAATAACATTAAAAAAGAATTACATCCAACAGATTAGGATTACCGTCTTAAGCAGAAAAAATTAACTGTAAATTCGTCTGTAAGATATTGCAATGTTGTCTTGACAGTCCTAACAAATGAAACATAGAAGGAAATGTATAGAAATCGATATGAAGGGAAGGAACTGTTGGTATAACCTGAAGTTTGCTGTTAACGCCCACAATATGGAATATGCGTTGGAAATTGAGAGAAAATTGTCATTTTCAATAGTATCAAATTTTCACTGCTAACTTCAACCACCATTTGTCGAAAACACAACGATGAGTTAAGTTTGTAGACATGCACCCGTTTCCTCTTCTTAAACGGAAGAAATCCAACTTCAAAGTCGCTGTCTGAAGAAATCAGGGAGGTGAACACTTCGGCATCTCCATCCTCGTATTGTGTACCTTGTTCAGATGACTCTAAGGTAATTGGGATATGAGTAATGCGTTTAGTGTTTACTGCTCCTTCTCTCAAATCATCCAGCCCCTCGATCTCTTCATCATCTTCTTTTTCGGAACTTCTCTCTCCTACTTTAAGATAATGACCGTATTCTTCTACTTCCATACTTATGCATCCTCTTACAATCCTCTTGGTTGCTTGGAGGTGACTACCCTCTAGAACGCTATTGAGATGCAGTCTTTTCCATATCAAGGCACAAAGATGTTTGGGTGATTCAGAATCCTGGACGGGGTACACTTTGATAATTCCATTGCCCACACCTCCCTAGTTGGGCGGAAATAGGGTGCGTGTCTTCCAGAAACAATTCATTATGTTGGCAGCCAACGACGAATCTATAGCCTCAGCAGCTGTAGATCGCAACGTTATTTGGCTTGGTGCCAGCATATAACGACATAACAGCTTTGAGCAGAGCGTGGCGTCCGTTCTTACTGATGATCTGATGAGGGGAAACGAGCTCTTCTATGAATTCCAATTCTTTGCGTTTAATCTTGGCCTTACGCAAATATCGTAAGCCTCTGCCAAAATCGTACATAAATTCAATGTTTCGAAAGGGGTTAAAGCAATTTGGCATGTTTGTGATAATGTTGTCAGTTTATTTGGCCAACACGTTATTCAGCACAGGTACTTTGCCATGATTTCCGACAAACAGGTCGGTGATCAACACCGAGAGAAAGGCGCAGCTGTTAGTGGCACCACTAGGAATTTGGACATTTAGAGGAGTGGCTCCAGCTGCAACAGGCTTGTCGTGGCATTCCACAGCAGTTGTTTGGTTGACGGAAAGTTGGATATCACGGGCGGTTGACTTGGCGATTTTGATCTCCTAAAATAACTGCACTATATTCAGAACTTTTGCTCTGTTTCTCGGACAAAACGAAGTACACTGCTGAACAGTTTTCTTCAATTCCCAGCAGACTGTAGATTTTAAAACGAAAAACAACAGTTCCTCGGTCTACATTAGTGGTCCTTGTGTGACATAGTCAGCAGGCAGAGCTTCGTCAAAATAATTTTTCTGCTTCATCTATGCTAAGCCTGTCTCGAAGTACCTGCAATGAAGGATTTTACGACTTTAATAGCTCAGGTTTTTTTTTTTATAAAGACCTATAAATCTTTTTGATGATGACTTCTTAGTCTATGGCCACATGTCTGGACTTAACGGGTTCGATAGTAGTGCGTGCGTGATAGGACGCTCTACCTTAAGGGTCCTTATTTTTCTGCTTCTTCTCGGCGTTCCTTACGAATATGAAAGCACCTCTTCTTGCAATCAGTGGTTAAACAATTATGGACAAGATTTGGGTGAAATAGCGGTGTGCTTCCTTCGACAAGATGACTTATATCTCGAATTGCCAACGACGGGTGAACACGGCCGCCGCCATTTTGGATCAAAACGCGTGTTGCGCCGCAAATTCCTTGGACACTGGCTGAGCAGATATCCAAACAGTTCTTCTACCTTTAAGCTATCGCGCCTCCCTATAAGCTGCGACGTTAATCCAAACTCTGACCCAACAACTAAACGTGATTGCCCTTCTTGTTCTAGGACTGTTACTCGTAATCATCGCCCATTGGATTGCAACTTATGTAGAGGTACCTTTCATATCAAGTGCGGTGAGGTTGCACCTACGGAATTCAAGCAAATGCAGAAAAGCAAACAAAAATCGTGGTCATGCCCCACATGTACGGAAAGACAATTTTAAACTACGAAATTATTAATTTAGATTACTGGTCAGCCCTTCCTTTCGCTTCTCTTGATGACCCTGTTGACGAAGCTTCCGCTGAAGGTGATGTGTCTCACCTAAATGACTTAAATGAAAGCCAAGATGATGACTTAACGGAACTGGTGAAGCAATTGGAGGCTGGTTCAAATAAAGATGTAAAAGTAACGCACCTAAATGTTTGCAGTTTGCGAAACAAAATCGACGAACTTAGATGTTTACAACTTTTGTGTAGGTTTGAAGTCTTCGCTGTCAAAGAAACGCATCTTAACAGTTCCGTATCAGACACAGATATAAGTATTTCCATTCGGGATATCAGATCATAATCTAGTTTAGGTTACAACGAAATTAAAGAACAAAAGACCACCTCCAAAATGCATTAGAACGAGAGATTACAGGAGACTTGATCAAGATAAATTTCGGTCTGATATCGAATCTGCACCGTTTCATATTGGATCGATCTTTGACGATGCAGACGACAGGCTATGGGTATGGCAGAAACTATACATTGACACATGCGACGAGCAGGCTTCTTGGAAAGAGGTCAAAGTTAGAAATAAATCGGCGCCATGGATAAAGAATAACATTCGTTACAAGATGATATACTAAACAGCAATCATGACAAAGAGCTCTACATCATGGCAGAATACAAGAAGGCTAGAAATTGAGTTCGGCTTTGAGGAATTCTAAGGCGTCCTATTTTTCTAACATGTTTATAGAAGTCAAGAAAAAAAGTGCATACTGGAATTTACTTAATAAAGCAACAAAGCCCACCATGCGTAAAAACATTGGACCTTTGAAAAGAGACGATGGTAGCTTAATACCTGATGACAAAGAAAAAACATGCAGAATAAACACATTCTTCGCAACAATAGGGAACAATTTAATCAACAGTCTTCTAAATCCTATGGACGACGAGTTTCGTCCTGAAATAAAACAACGCCAACCACCATAACTGGACGAGTTTAAAACAGCACACGACTCTGTGTGAGAAAAAGTGAAACATCTGAAAGTTAAAAGTTCACTGGACCAGATAACATTGCATCCACACTTTTAAAGGCTGCAGGAAATGCTATTGTGTCATCTCTAGTTAATCTGTATGAATTTAGCATTGAACGTGGAACTGTGTATCCTATGTGGATGACAACGAGGCTTGCACCAATTTTCATAAAAGACGATGATACACACTGTAGTTAATACCGACCAGTTTCTTTATTAAGTGTTCCTAGTAAAATCACGAAATCTGAGATTAACAGTAACATTGTACAACATATTATCCTTAAGAGGACATCCGTGCAGAAATCAAACAAAAATGAAATTTTTATGGCAAGGGTCAAAAATTCAAATTGTCTCAATTTTTGCACACAAGTAGACCCTAGTGAGACAAGAAAGACTGTGTATATTTTTTTTTCCTCAAATGTGTTTTTATTTTTTGAGAAAAACGAACTTTTCCCTTTCACCCTCTAAAATCGATGGATCGGATCATAACAGGTCGAATATTGAACACTTTCGCTCGCTTCGCATTTCAAAGATATTTCACTGATCAAGGGAAATCTAACTAACGTGTCCTCTTTCATAGACTCTTCGTCTTCTGTAAAATTTAAGTTGTGTTCCTACACAACTCACATTTTACAGATTAGAGACAGATTGCTACAAGAATGCGAGCCACTGGAGCACATGAAGGCAAATCTATCTATCTATTATTGCTGACAAAGTTAGCTATCGAACGTTACAGAGTTGGATTCCTGGTCTAACACGATATAGATTTAATGTCGCCAGGCAACACGCTCACATGTATAGAGGAGGTGCTGAAGTTGAAGTTCGTAGTGTACCGAGAATGTATGTCTCAGCCTCGCAGCTTGACCACTTCCTTGACTTCATCACAAGTAAACACATTATCCAAGAACTTCCACTTGATGAAAGGACATTGAAATTATCATCCGAAAAGAAAATAACAGTACCCAATGAGGTAAAAAAAGGTCATCCCAGAGCGAGTTATTCAACAGTATAACCTGTTTTGCACCGAGATGGGTTTTGCTCCGATGGGACGCAGCACCTTTCATAACATTCTAGATGTGTGCTCTGTTAATGTGAGGAACTAATTACAGGGACTCGCTTACTTTACAGCGCAAGGCACACAGGCTTTTGATGATTTAGAGAGTGTTATCGATAAGCTCGGAGAAAACTGTGGGATGGGCTCAGCCTGGGTGAAAGAAAAGAAGGAACAGCTGAAGGAAGGAAAGAGATATCTGAAGAGTGATTACAAGGTACCATTATTATCCCTATTATCAATATTATTATCATTATTACTATTATTACTATCATAACAGTAAAAATAATCGAGTGTGCTTCATAAGTTCTCATCACAATACAGATATATGAATTATTAATGAAGACATGCAGATAAACAGGGACCATAGTCATTATCATACATTCTTATTCGAGATTTTTGTTTTCAATTAATAGGTATACATTTCAACGAGCTCAAGTCTACCAGACCATTGTCGAGCCTACGCGCTAAGTTTTCCAGACGACACAGACTACCTTGAAATTTGCCATCACAACCACAGCCACACATGCGACCGATGTTCTCGTCTTCTGTTGTTGCTAAAATCGAGAGAGCTGTACAGGAAGTGGGAGGCACAACCGATACGAAAGAAGATTTGGCCTTTGTGACTTTACAGTCCAAACAATGCATAAATTCCTGGAAACTAGACGTCATCGATGAGCTAGACGAAACTTCTGTCTTACTGGTCTTAGACTGGGCCAAGAAATATCTACCAAAGAAATTTGGGGAGAGCCAAACAGATCGGTTTGGTAAGAGAGGTCTGCCATGGCATATCACGGTTGCGACGAGAGAGGGAAATGATGGCAAGATTGAGATGATGACATTTGTACACTTATTTGAGACCTGTAACCAGGACAGTTCTGCAGTTCTTGCCATACTTAACGACGTCTTTCGTTGACTGAAGGATGTCATGCCTCATTTATCTCAGACAAGACAACGCCGGGTGTTACCACTGCGCTTTAACCCTGATTATAGCCAGCAAAGTAGCAGAACTAAACAATCTCTTCCTACGCAGAATGGATTTTTCAGATCCCCAAGGAGGGAAGGGATCTTGCGATCGGGAAGCTGCAACGATCAAATCCCATATGGCCATCCATTTGAATTCAGGCCACGATATAGAGTCGGCATCTCAAATGCAGGAGGCAATAGAATCATTTGGGGGTGTCCCTGGAGTAAAAGCAGTGTTATGCAGGCCTCCTTTGTCTTCCATCAAAAAGCCACTGAAATGGGATGGTGTGAGCTTTGTCAACAACGTTCAGTATGGCGAGGAAGGTGTGAGAGTATGGAGATCCTACAAAATTGGAAGAGGCAAATTCATTCCTTGGAGCAAGTTTCCTGTTCCTGACCAGGACGAAGTTCCAACGCTGGAATGCAGTGCAGCAAGCGAAAATATAAAAGCTAATTTTGTTCCTATCAAACCGAGACGAGCTGAGGTTGCTAAAACATCTCAGAAGCACCAAGACGGCACTAATGAAGGTACCGATGATTTAAGTGAAGAATCGGCGATTCCACGACTAAAAATTTTTTTTCTGCTCGGAAGAGGGTTGCATTAAGTCCGATCAACGCCATTCGTCATTACAGACACAAATATGTTCTTGAATATGAAACTCTTTACGACCGCGCTGTGCTAGGGTGTGCCTCTAGACTGGAGAAGGAACCGAGTGCTGTGCCGGAACTGCGGGACACGGAATGCACCCCGTCATCGTCTGTAGTTTCTCTTGAAATGGGATAGCAATACTCGTTTCACTGATAAGCAAAAGGACTACTAGATGGCCAAGTTTCAAACTGGAGAACAAACGGGACAAAAGGCAGATGATGCAAGTGTCTCAAGATTAATGAGGTCTGAGAAAGACGAAAACGACGAGCAGCTATTTGACTGCTCTGAGTTTCTTACAAGCAGGCAAATTTCTAGTTTTTTTTCTCGTCTGGCCTCAAAGCGAAGTCTCGACCACCAAGAGGTCAACCAGAGCGATGACGATGAGTAAATCAGAGCAGAAAAGGAGAGCCAGCTACAAGCAATGAGCAAAAAGGTGGTGTCTGAAATTTCTTTTCAGCACGCACATCCAATCTTGTACAACGATTACAGCATTTGTGAACTAGTCAAGAATTCTGAGCTTTCAAACTTTCCAATTCAAGTGTTAAATGACATTTGTACTTCTTTCGGACTCGATACTTCCCAGGTCAACGTTAAGAGGAAGAAGCCGTATGTCGATATTCTAACAAGTCTTGTCATGAGCTGCCAATGTCAGGCAAATGGGGAATGAATGACAATGTTTGATGGTACCTGCAGCTGCTGTTAGTTGTGAATTCTTTGGTGTACAGTCCTGCTGACACGATTTCGCAACTGTGTTTTTACCGAACAAAGAAGCTGAAGTTTGTTAGAAACGCCGGAAAAGGTTATTTGCAGTTAAGAGCAGTGACAGTTAAGACAAGCGATATTGACTCTTTCGCAGTTAATTAAGTTTTGTAAATTTGTCTTGCCTATACGTCACAAAGCGAAGAGACATTGCGGTAATTAAAAAGTTTTTCACTCCGGCAGAAAAAATCAACTTGGGTGAAAATAAAGGCAAAATCAGAGCCAAATGGATATTTAGACCTACTTCTTCATTTCTACGTAATTGTGCTTATTTTAAAAACGACCGTCGAGCGACCATACCTGCAATTATGCTAATTAGGTAATGCAAGCCCTCACTTAGTCCACTTAACCCTTGCAAAAACCTCCCTTTGAAAACTTTGTTGGTTTTTATCGAGTGCTAGTTTAAAGGCACGGGTAAGCACATATAGAAAGTTAAACAATGGGCAGAAATTTAAGATTCGTATTCGAGAGACCAGCAAAGTTTTTAATCGTATACCGTTACTGGCACTGGTGAATAATCGTACTAGACAGAACGATGGCAGAATATCTCTGCAGAAACAAACTTCAAATGATGAAAGACAAAGTAATTTAACAAAACTGGGTATGAATTTGTTATTTGTTTCTGAAAAAGTTCTGCTGTTCGATCCGAAGTCATTTCGAAGGCAGGAATGCTCCTTAACTCTTTGGTCACGCAATCTACATATTGTGTGATTTTATGTCTTACGTGTGCTTTTTTTAGGCATTTCCTGCGTCGCGAGAAAACATTTGCCCAAAGAAAACTTTACGTCATTTTGAAGATTATTCCTTTAGCAATTTACTTACGTAATTTGGTGGAATTCTGAATAATGGTAAGTGGTGAAAAAAGAGGTTTTATTCACCGACATTTTCTTGTAACGCAAGAGAGGGCATTGTTTTTTCGCATGGCTAAAAGCTTCTAAGAAACCAATTCCTACATAACCTACCTTTTACAGAAGACGAAGAGTCTATGAAAGAGCACACGTTGATAAGATTTCCCCAGACGTAATATCTTTGAAATGCGAAGCGAGCGAAAGTGTTCAATTTTCGACCTGTTATGACCCCATCCATCGATTCTAAAAGCGAAAAGTTCGTTTTTCTCGAAAATAAAAACATATTTGAGGAAAAAGAAATCCTTAACCTTTCTTGTCTTATTCGGGTCTACTTGTGTGCCAAAATTGAGACAATTTGAATTTTTGACCCTTGCCATAAAAATTTCATTTTTGTTTGATTTTTGCAAGGATGCCCTCTTAACAACTTAATCTCCGAAAGGCAATGGGCACACCGACGGGGTTACCGTAATGTCATTGTTGTAGCGCTGCTCTACTTTCTCTAAAATCCACAAGTTTGCGCGTGATCTGATCTCTGGCCCAATTTTCTTTAATTTTCCTCTTGTCATCGGAATGGCAGTAGTGTTGGTTAGAAACTAACACATTTCCTAACTTAATATCTCTGTGCACAATGTTCTGATCATGCAGATACACCAAGACCTATGTCCTCTGGGATCTCGATGTGCAAACAAAATGGTATTTCTGACGAATGAGTCTGCGAATAAGGCAGAAATAAATATTTTGTCGGCACGAGATACGACAAGGCCTGGGCCTTAGGCCCGAGCATCATGGGTAATGATGCAGTGGTATATAAGGGAAAGTATAGCACGTGATGTCCATCTAGGCCTCAGAACCAACCGTTCAACTCTGGCTGTTAAAAAATTCAGTGGCCTCTTGGAGCAGACCGTTTCTCAGATCAAACGGTCGAACGAAGAATCGGTGGAAAGTCAGATGAAGGAGACCAAGCGCCTCAAATTCAACGAGTCTCTTAAGAAAAACAAAGTGACTAGAGGACCGCTACAACTCAGGTGTAGTTCTTTCCTTTGTTAATATCGAAGCTAGTAGTTTGCCTTCGCAATCGGAATTAGGCAGTGCTATTGACTCGAATCCTAGCGTTGCCTTTTTGTGCTGATTCCTTCCTGTTAGATTCCTTCGGATTCAGGCTCTCTTGCAGTTGATTTGACCTATTCTTCTGTGCGCGGAGGGCTTAGAAAATTTCTGGATTTTTGACGTACTTTGGAAGTTTCGCAATTTGTCCTAAATGTTATTATGCAGGGTTACAAAATTCCCTTCCTCCAACTTCCAACACCTTTTGTTAAGAGAAACAATACTTCTGCTCGTGAGAATAGTGATTTTTGTTTCGCAAGCTGTCAGCGATTTACTTCGCTTGGGCCTAATTGCATAACTTGCTTGTAAGCCCGATATCATTAACCCACTTTCAGTTTCTACCCGTAGTTCGGGAAAGCAAAGGCTCGTTTTGAATCTTCGACATGTCAACCAGTTAATATACGAACAGAAGTTCAAATGTGAAGATCTGGGTGTCATTACGCAGTTGTTTTGATCGTAATTATTACTTGTTTAAATTTGACCTTCAGTCTGGTTATCACCACATTGAAATTTTCTCAGATCACAGAAAATTTCTCGCTTTTGCTTGGGATTTTGGGAACGGGGTTTCAAGATATTTTCAGTTCTGAAAATTTTCAGAGTTCATAGAGCCTCTGTGCTTCCTTTCGGGTTTTCTTCAGCCCCGTATGTTTTCACATCGATTTTTAAGCCATTACAGAAATCGTGGAGGAGCCAGGGCATCCCGATAGCTATTTTCCTCGACGATGGTTAGGAGGGGGAACAGATTTTGTTTCTGCTAAAGTTAACAGTTTAGTCGTCCATTCAGATTTGCTCAAGTCTGGATTTGTTCCTAATGAGGAAAAGTCCCTTTGGGAGCCTCTCCTAGTTATCACCTGGTTGGGTGTGATTCTAGACACTATTGATGGGACTATACAAGCAACCGACGAACGTATTGAATAGTTAAACGCTGAGGGACCCACCTTGAGATCAAGTCTGCCGTACACAAAAGCTGTAAACATGGATCAGTGTTATGTGGTTAATTTGAAATGCTAACAACCGCTTTGAGCGAGTGTGTGAATTGTAAACAAGGACCCCTAGATTTACGTAATAGTTTTAATGTTCGCCCGGAAGGAGTGTGTCCAGTACTAAAAGTTAAATGCACACAATGTGAGTTTATTAACATCGTACGCCCGGCCGAGCATCATCGTACTGGAAAAGAGGCCCTCCCACCTTCGACGCTAATTCCCGTGCTGGGCTTGGTGCACTGCATTGTGGATTGGGACATACGCATACCTCTGGATTTCTTACAACACTTGGTGTACCATCAATTTCCTCAAGCAATTTCAAAAAAGCGGGAAAGAGAAAGTGGAAAAGCAGTAGAAGAAGTGGCTAAAGATTCTTGTAATCAGTTTAATGAGGAAGAAAAGCGGTTGTCCACGACTGGAAATGAGGAAGTAGTAAAACTCGGGCCTTGTTGAGCTACTGTCTTGTCAACCTCCCTGGAAAGTGCACGTGAAGGGAGTCGCCATTGTAACGGGTCAAATAATTTCCCTCTCTCCCTGTATGGGTTCCTTCGCCCGTATTATGACTAGATTTCTTTTCTTGGTCGTGAATTCGGCGCGCTCTTGGGAAAGCGAAGTTTTTCTCTCAGACAACTCTCTTTCAGAAATCAGCTTCTGGAAGAACAACCAGTCCCTTCCGGTCAGGGTCACCTTTCCAAATGCCCCCAATTCGGCTTGTGGTGCTTTCGTAAAAGAATCAAATTTAGTATTTTATCAGAACTGGTCTCCTGTAGTGCGTGCCTAAAGTTCTACATGGAGAGAACTCAAAGCTGTTTGCCTCGCCTTGGAAGCTTTCGCGAGTCATCTTTCTGGTGTTAAGGTTATTTGGTATTCCGATAACCAGAACGTCGAATCTATTCTTCAAAACAGTAGTAGGGTAGCTGACATGCACCAATTGGCCCTCCTAGTTATCCAAATATGTCTTGAGTTTCACATATCACTTGAGGTTAAGTGGATCCCTTGGGAGCTTAACGCTAAGGCTGATGCAATAAGCAATAAGCAATATAACCGATTATGATGACTATACCATTAACGAAGCTATCTTTCAAAGAATTAACCTATTTTGGGGGTCCCACACCGTTGACAGATTTGCTTGTTCCTATAACGCTAAGGTACCAAGATTTAACACTGAGATTTTTTCAGACTGGCTGTGTAGTAGTAGATGCCTTCTCCCAAGATTGGGATTTTTTTTCCTCCAGTGTGCCTATTAATTAGAGTGGTAAAGCACATGGAATTGTGTAAGGCTAGAGGAGCGGTTATCCTCCCCTTGTGGAAGTCCTCTTGCTTATGGACTTTATTTTGTAGAGACGGTGTGCAACGGAACAGTTTCGTAATTGACTGGGTGTTTTTATCCAAGTTCCCAGGTCTCTTTATCAGAGGGAAAGACCGAAACTCGCTTTTCGGTTCCAGACCCCTGGACTTTGATGCTATAGCCCTTCGAATTGATTTCGCCGCCCCAGATCTCCCTGTGCTTGCGTAGGCTTCTGTACGAAGTTCAGTATAGACTGTGATCGTTGTAATTAGCCCGGCGGGCTTTTTGTATTCACAGCGGAAGTTTTCTCTTCTGGGTGCAAATGTGATTTTGTTTCAGTCAATCCCAGCGTAATTGCTCTAAGTCCTTTGTACTTAGCTTATGGGTTGTTTGGCACTTACTCAGGCTTGAAGTGACTTAAATCATAGAATTGCTCGTCAATATTGCGTATTGCGTTATGACACGAGTTTGTGTCAAGAATTTATTCAGCATTGTTTGAAATTAAAGGGACCCATATGTAGGCGTAGGCTTCTGTACGAAGTTCAGTAAAGACTGTGATCGTTGTAATTAGCCTGGCGGGCTTTTTGTATTCACCGCGGAAGTTTTCTCTTCTGGGTGCAAATGTAATTTTGTTTCAGTCAATCCCAGCGTAATTGCTCTAAGTCCTTTGTACTTAGCTTATGGG